GGGGGGGGGGGGGGGGGGGGTGTCTGCACACTCCGGTGGATCAAAGCAAGTTTGATATAACATGGTTTCACCTATAAAGTGGTAAGATTTTTTTGGCTCCCGAGGACAGCGTTATATGGTGGTAGAGGTGTATTCACAGTATAAGTAAGGAGCCCCAAGCTATTTGACTCTTTTTGTAGAATACCTCAGTATATTTTAATTCAGCATTTATACTTCTCTGCTAATTCAGCATCAATACCCATGACAATTTCTGAAACGAGTACATGTTTGGTTTATTAATTTATTTAGAATTGGTTGATGCACTAAAATAAGAGGAATTAAAATATTTAGGCAAAATTAATAAGTTTCACACTAATTGTTACAGTCAAGTTTCACATACAATGTAGCTGAATAAGAAAAATTTAGATATGCCTTTTCAAGCACTGTTGTACTCCATCTACTTTTGTACTTTCATGTACTATATACAGAGCAGTATGTAAAATCATAATATAATAAAATAAACATACCTGGATATCCAGAATGTTAAACAGCTTTTCATCTCTTGGTGCAAAAGAATTAGGAACCATTATCTCCAAAGCTATAGCAGGAGCCATGCTCGGTCCAGCACTGATAACCTTGGGAGAAAGCATGCTACAGTAATTGAAACTTTCATTCACATACACTAATCAAGAAATGAATACACAGAATTCACACACTTACAGCAGCAATGGAGGCTTCCTAATGCTGGCTTGATAATAAAACTTGACTGTGAACTAGAGGGAAGCACCTCAAGAGAGGATAGTGCAGTTTATTTTCTACCCATATTGAATCCTTGATCTCTCTGTTAACTCTGCTAATAAAGTGCCATTTGGGGTAGTGGTAGCTTTGCGGTATGACACTGGTCTGCTATGAGCTGAACTGAGGTCATATTTCACCACTTCAGGTGGGATATTCAAAAGGGTTTAAGGGAGTTAAGTGCCCAACTTTCATTGACTTTTAATCCACCAGTCTGCGATGGATATGAACTGGTAACCTAGAGAGACCCTATTACTAATCTCCAGGGCCAGCTAGTCCCCCCATGCTCTACACACAGTACTTGCTGTATACCAGCTCCTTGTGCAGCACTTGTGTTCAGTGAACAGATATGTAGTACAAATCACAAGTAGTTTTACAGCTGACTCCCCTGCTTTAGTAAATATGTACTGTCTAAGAAAACCCATTGAAAATTGTAAGCCAGGGTGAAGGAGGATATTATCAAAGGCCTAACTGAGAGTTAGGTAACCAGCTCCCATTGACTTTGAATGGAAGTTGGGCACCTAGCTCCCCTTTCTGTCTTTTAAAATTCCCCCCTGCCCGCATCATCCAGGTCTATCGTCAGTCTAAACCAGTGAAACTCACATGCATGTCTGGGTCAAATTCTGACCTCTGATGCAAAACAAATGAGCAGCAAAAGTTTCCTGACCTGCAGCACTCCATAAAGGTGACAGTCAAAGGTGCTTAACAGATGCTGGCTGTGGTTAGCAGGGGCCTGGAATGAATGGACTTGCCATAAAGAAGTGACAGGAATAGGGAACCAAAGACTATAGGAGGCTATGAAAATGTTCAAAGGCAATTAAGTGAGATGGGTTCTTTTTAATATGGCTTGCACCCTTAAAGGGAACTCCAACTTTAATTAGTGACTGATCCAGCTGCTATTGAAGTCAATAGCAGTGTTTCTATTGACCTGTAAGGGGCATAGATTATGCTTTTCAAGCACACTTTACTAGATCTATGGTGGCTTCATGGACAGAGAAACCAAGCCTAAAATTAGGGGCACCCCATCTGGTGAGCTGAGCACACTCCCTACAGATGTAAGTAGCTATTATTGTTGTAAATTTAGTGCTACAAGTGTATTTTTTCAAGCTTTTTGAAAGCATTTGCTGGAAGTATATGTTGATTGGTACACCCACAAATATAAACTGGTACTTGGATTCCAAGAATCTAGGGAGCTGCTTCTGTTAACGGCTACATGCAGAAGTTCTCACCAATCCCAGGATTTATGTATTTGTTTCTATATTAAGCACTTTACAAGAGCAACGCTTTCCCAGTAAGTTACAAGGTGAGCTGGAAGTGCCCTTTGTCTTATCTGTTGTTAAGAATTAACCTTTTAGAAAAAGAAGAGGAATGGTTTCTGTAAAGAATAGCTCTTACATGGAAAGTGAAGTTGATCTTCTCCTTCATGCAATTAATTGGTGAATTTTCCTCACTGGATCCATAAACAAATGAAGCGGGTGATAGAGATCTACAGTAGTTAAAAAAATAATTACAATAGGACAAAATTAGCACTATTTAGTATGCAATGTTAATATGAGCATTATCCTCTCTAGGCCAGACTGTCGTCTATGCAGGTCACTACAGAACTGGAAAGGTTGAATTAGCACCTAACTCAGCCCTGCAGTAGGGAAGGTCAAGGATAAAACCTGCTTTAATTTAGGCGGGACATCTCTGTGGATTGAGTGGGCACAATGTGGTAGTGATGAATCACCATCATCCTCCAGCCCTACCCACTGATCCCCAACTCAGAGAGGGGCTTATAAAGGAGGGGGAAAATTATGACAAAGGGGCTACTCGTTTTTTACATCTCTGACTCATTTACCTCCCCTTTACCAGTGGAATTTCAGTCCCCTCCACCTTCAGAGAAAGACTCATCACAGGTATGGTTCAGTGGTTAGGTTATGAGGAATTATGGGTTTATTCCCAACTTTGCCACTGATTCTGAGAGATCTACAAGTAACATCAACCTTGTGCATCAGTTTTCTGAGATCTTCAAATGAAAAATGCTAGAGCTAAAATGTTAATTTTCCTGTAGTGGCTGCAATGGTGGATATGGTGGCAAGGGAAGTGGTGGGAGAGTGGAATGGAGATAGTGGAAGCAGTTGCTGCCCCTTCCCATCATTCGTTTGAAAGAAGTGTCCTGCTATACGAAGTAGCGTTCAAATATGCTGAGCCTGTCCCTCTGAAGCAGCATCTCTGTAAGCCCTTATACCAAGTGTCCTTTACATTTGTCATCACCTGATGACAGTGACAGTCAAAGGAAAGGATCCTTAAAAAGTATCCCTGGGCATTCCTGCTACATGACTGCAATCCAATGATTATGGCACAGTGGGGTTGGGCAAATCAAGGCCCCGTTTAGAGGGGTCTGTCTGCCCAGAACAAAGTAGCTTTATTCATAGGCAAATTTATGACAGGCAGTAACACCAGCTGGGACAAGCTGAACAGCAAACAGTCAATATAGGTGAGTATAAAAGACAATGTGTTTGACTCAGGCAGTGGACAATTACACAAAAAAGCATAAGGCTGAGCAATTACCAACATGGAATTTGATAGGCTAAAGGATTAAAATATAGTTTTTGTTCACCTTTGCAGAAAACAGGATTAAGTGACAGAAAAGCAGGAACAAATAATACTACTATGATGGAAAAAGGTGTTATAGAAGAGCAAAGAATCAGTCCTCGGATATTAAATCTCAGCCCTCTTGGGGTTTTCCCCCCATTTTAGGGGAACAAACTGAAGGACAAAGTCTGCAGCAGAACCTGGAATAAAATCTAGATCTTCCCACTCCCAGTACTGCCATTTTTCACTAGGCCATGCTTCCTCTCTGAAGATCATGGGAGTTCAGCTGAGGTATGTGTTCTTTAATGGATAAACAACAATCTTATGCACATGGATATGCAGAGCAACCATTAACTTACTTACCCGTGGACATTTAGCTCGACCTCATGTTTCAGAGGTATGACTAAAGCTATGGAGTTATCCAACAGCAGGTCGTTATCCTCTTCATTTTTACTGTAGAAGTAAGCAGAGGGGGGGGATGGGAGGGAGAGGAGGAACGGTGTTAGAATACATCATACTCGGTGTGTTATCTCTAGAGATAACTAATTACATAAAACATACACCTTGCAGCTTATTTACATAACTTTTTTTGTAACTATCCATGTGCCAGTAAGAAATCATTTTTATGACAATGTTAGCAGAAATCTCATTATTTAAATAGCAATTATCTACTTTTTGTGGTTTCAGTTTCTCTATATTTTATGTAATAAATGAGCTTTCTTTTAGTTGTGCTTCATTAAGCCTTTGCTGTGCTCCCTATTCCGTTTTCCAGAGCTAGGGATATTTTTCATCAAACGCAGCAATTTTTATCAAGCAAGATTTACCAGGTAGCATTAACTGTGATGGTGAGGTCATCTTCTGCCCTGGTAAGTGAGCTTGCATCCAAGAGAAAACTAAAATCCATCTGTAGAAAAATGAAACACTGTTTGTGCTAAATGATTGGGTGTGTCTTAACAAATGTTTAAGATGAAATGTTACATCATTAAACTAATTTGAAATTTCCTTCTTAAATGTTTAACCTTTGTGAAAAATTCTAGAGTGCGCCGAATTATATTTTGCACAAGTTCAGCCCCCAGTTCATTAGGGCATAATGCTTTTGTTTGTAATCTCAGTCAACCCAATCACTTTCCTACAAAACATTTGTAGGGAAGGTTAAGGTACAGAAAATGTATTGTGCTATAGATGAAGTTCCAGTTCTGGATTAAATGCATGGTCACAGCATGCCCTAAATACATTTCTACCCAAAGGTGGAGAGAGGATTTGGTGCTCCCTTCATTTCCTCTAACATGCACTCCCCTATAGCAGTGGTTCTCAACCGGGGGTCTGTGGCCCCCTAGGGATCTGCAAATAGTTGACGCACAGGTGGGCCTTGGAAAGAAAAAGATTGAGAACCCCTGCCCTGTACGATCTGCTTCCAAAAGGATACTCTGTTCCTGCTTGGCCAATTGCAGCAGAACTTTCAGGTTGCAATTTTGAGAAGCACTCAGCATTAATCTAATTCTGCTCCCATTTAAGTTCCCAGTACAACTCCCAGATGCTTCAATGGGAGCAGAGATAGGCCAATGCTGAGCTCTTTTGAAAATCCCAACCTAAGGATGAGATTCTCTCCTTTGCTCTAGCCTCTCTATGGCAGGTTAAAGGGATTCTAAAATATCACAATCCAGCCAGGTCCCTGGTACAGGAACTGAGTAAGTCACCTCCAGACCCCTTGTAAGCCCTAGTGTAGGAGAGACTATGCTGGGAGCAAGGCAACAGAACACAGCACTGCAGAGATTCTAGGCCCATAGGCAGCTGGTGACAGACTGCCATAACGAAATTATACTGACGGCCACTCCAGTTCTTGGAGCAGCCCAAAACCAAGACTATGCAAAAACAAATTATAGCCACCTTAGTCCCTGCGCATCCTGGGCTGCAGGCTCTGTGCAAGAGGCACAGCACAGCCTCAGTCTTTAAAAGTACCCCAGACTTAAATGAACAGTGATTTAAATGAACTGAAATGAATAAGGATTCTGGGACATATGAAATCCAACATTTGAGCTAACAAGAGAACATATGTTAAAGGAAACAGGAAACACCCTTTTGGAACCTTTAGGTTTGAAGATTCATATAGAAGTGACCTATTGGAGAGTCGTCATAGTGGCTCCCCGTACTCCCTCATGTAGAATATGCCTAAAGCTGCCCCTGAGCAGAACAGACTTAATCTTGAAATGATTTGTACCTAAAAAACTATAAACTTTTCAGGGCAGGGACTGTGTTGTCTGTCTCAAATACCAGCATGTTGCTGATGCTAAATAAAAAATAAGGTAGTGACCACCTTTTCCCCACACAATGGCCCTTACAGGCCTATTTACAGAGAGGCTCTAACATCTGTGTGCAGACAAAGATGCCAATCCTTACAGCCAGAAACAATTAAACTAAATCCTAGTTAGCAGGCAAGGAACTAAACAGAAAGAAAACTATGTTTGGAAGCACAGATGTTTTAGTGAATCTAGTACAAGAGGCAGACTGACTAAATAAACTTTGTCTCTAAGCTTTTAAACACAAATACCTCTCATACTCTTTGTAACTGAAAACTGAGATGTTATTGAATCTTTGGATTAAAAAAATCGTTTTCTGATTGTTAAAATCCTTTTAAACACATGGTAACTTCACATCAATATCCGTTAAAAGAACAAAACTAGAAAAGTAATATTTAAATGACTTCCTTGGTACAGTTCACCATAAAGCGAGCAAGATTACAGTACATACAATATGCCTGCTCTTGATACATTGTAATAACTAATTTGATTTGAATGCATTGTTTCAGATAAATTGTAGAAGGCTAATTTCTTGATAATGGAATGAAGGGTTTTTATTATTATTACTTTAAAGAAAAACACTGGCATACCTACAAAGTGTGTACTTAGGTGCAATAAACTGCATTCTGTTGTGTATATCTTGTCCTTGGTGTCTCAGTGTGATATTTCAACTTTGACTTGTTAACAGAAATTCAGACCCTCACATAAATGCAATAATGGGGATAGTGTCCTCAATGAAGTAAAGCAAAAGGAAATGGGATGTCATGAGACATCTGACAAAACATTAACTCTTAATAAACTATTCCTAGAGCTGTGCCCATTCAAGTCTATGACTATGAGAAGCTCCGGTTCTCAATTATCATGGTGGCGAATATGGTATAGAAAGGAAGAAGGTGAGCAATAATTTATTTGTTGAACATTTTCATTCTAGCTTTAGCAGATCTTATGTAGAGTGTGTAATATAAAGTTTCCCCTTCTAAGTCATACATTTTAAGCACTTACTCATAAAACAAGACATAGTTTTAAAGATTAATAATTTCAGGTTTATTTTACCTTTGACAGATGATCTACATATAAATACCCAACACTGCAGTCAAGTCTCACTGCATGAGCTTTCTTATCTGATATTTCACAATGTATCTGTTTTTCTTCCTAAAATTAAAGAATGAAAAACAGTAACAGTTTTAAGTGATGAATCTAATGACCATTTAGCAAAGTTATTTCAGAAATTTCAAGCTACGTATATGCCATAAAATTTCACTTTTGAGTATGTACTGTTTCAGTGAACATCAGTGGGAATTTACAAAATATTTCTGCTGCTAATAGTTGACTAGTCCAATGAGTCCATATTGCTCAATTCCTTGCACCAATCAAATTATTTCGTTACTTCTTCATATTCTGTTGGTTAATGAGTTGACTTTGCAAGTATATTGTCAACCTATTTAAGTCTAAAATTACCCTCTCAAAGATAAGAAGTCCAGTATAAACATCTTAGAAGTAAATTCTTTAAACAAAATAATAAAAAGAATTTAGAGGGAAAGAATTTTTGTATCTCCTTCGCAAGATTACCATTCACCTCCAGCTTTCTTTAAAAAAATAATTAAAAAAGAGGCCTGATCCAACAAGGTGCTCTGTACCTCCTGAGAACAGCTCAGAGGATCAGTCCCTGGAGGTTTTTAAAAACAGGAGAACAGGATAGACAAATATCTCTCAGGGATGGTTTATGTACTCTTAGGCTAGGTCTACACTGGGGGAGGAGGGATCGATCTAAGATACGCAAATTCAGCTACGCGACGTATCCGATCCGACTTACCCCGTTGTGAGGACGGCGGCAAATCGACCGCTGTGGCTCCCCCGTCGACAGCGCTTACTCCTACCTGGGCTGGTGGAGTACGCGCGTCGATTCGGGGATCGACTGTCACGTCCCGACGAGACGCGATAATTCGATCCCCGAGAGATCGATTTCTACCCGCCGATCCAGGGAGGTAGTGAAGACAAGCCCTTAGTCCTGCTTTGGTGTGGAGGGATGCACTAGATCAATGGTTTTCAACCCTTTTTCATTTGCAGACCCCTAAAAATTTTGACTGGTGGTCTGGACTCCTTTGGAAATCTTGGACATCATTGGCCGACCCCCAGGGGTCTGTGGGCCACAGGTTGAAAATCACTGTTCTATGATGACGATAACCTTTCGCTGATATAGTCGGCGGACCCCAGGCTGAAAACCACTGGATTAGATTATCTCGAAGTCCCTTTCCAGCCCTATATTTCTATGATACTAGGAGTAAGGACTTACCAAATTCACGGTCCATTTCGGTCCATTTCATGGTCATAGAATTTTAACAATCATCAATTGCACAATTTCAGATATTTAAATCTAAAATTTTATGGTGTTATAACCAAGGGGATCCCAACCGAAAAGAGGGATGTGGGAGGAGTGCAAAGCTATTGTAATAGGATTGCAGTATTGCCACCTGTACTTCTGCGCTGCTGCTGCTGGGGGGCACTGCCTTCAGAGCTGGGCAGCGGGCAGCACAGACGTGAGGGTCAGGTGGTATGAGGGGGGTCATCATTTTTGGGGGAGGCAGGGCTGGCCTTACGGGTGGGTGACCGCCCAAGGCCATGTGGTCATGGGGGCGCTGTGGTCCGTCCCCTGCCCCGAACACACACAGCCAGACCAAGGCCCCTTCAACTCCCAAGTGCTGAGCCTAGAGCCAGAGAGGAGCGGGGGCAAGGGTTCCTGGAACCTTTGTAGAAGTGCCACCAGCGCTGGAACAGGAGGGGCCATGCCCCCCCCACTTTTTAATATGGGCATAGTTTTGGGGGCAGGGGCAGTGTTGCCCTCCAAACTGCAAGCCGCCGCCAGGGGCTCTGTGCCTGCCCAAGGCTTGCAGTTTGGGGGGGGGGGGGGTAACACCACCTCCTACCCTACAAACTTTGCTCATGTTAAAAAGTCCCCTGGCCCTCCTGGTTCAGACGCTGCTATCTGGGGGTGCCCCGGGGGGGGGGGGGTGTCCAACTGTGCACCAGGGTCAAGGTGCTAGTCCTGGAGGGCTGGGGAGGGACAGGACTTCCTCTTCTCTTGCAGGGGCCAATCCCAGGGCTGGGTCAAGCCCAACTCTGGGACCCTCCTCCAGCTGCAAGAATCTCCGCGGCTGCTCACTGTGCAGTGATCCCCACCTCCTCCTCCCCCCCCCCCCGCCGCGGCTGGAGAGCAATGGGAGCAGGAAGTGGGGTGAGGGTGTGGAGCTTTCTGCAGTCGAGGGATGTTCCCAGAGGTAGATCATGAGCCCAGCACATGGTAGGGGTCCCAACTAGGGCGCCCCCAGTCCTGCCCCTCTCCAGTGGATTTCATGGAGGAGACCAGATTTTTCACTGCCATGAATTTAGTAGGGTCTTATCTATGAGGGAGGTTAAATACTAGTATTTCCAAATACATTTAGAAGTCACTACTTTTGTTCATTTACTGCAAAACTTTACTATTAAATAAAAAATTTGGCCAATTTGATTAAACTGTGCCCACTGTGTGGATGGATTAACTAAAGCTTTAAGCAGAAAATCTTGAGTGTTGTCAGCTTTCCCTACTTAGAGGTTTTTTTGTCAACCCTACCCCATGGGTCTGAGCTCAGGTGGGTAACTCGAACCTCCACTTGTGCCACAACATCCACACAGCTATATTTAGTGTACTAGTGTTAATCCCACTAGCATGAGTCTGTCTACCCCAGCTGGGAAGCTTGTTCTCAGCTGTAGTGTAGACATAGCTGTATGGTCTGTCCAGGTAATGTGAGAATGGTCAAGGAATTATGAGGACATAGAATTTCAATTCTTACCAGTTCTAGAACTCTGACAAAATAAAGACCTTTAGGGAGTTGTATGTGGAGGGCAGTTTCATATGCATCATCTCCAGCATTGCTCAGAGATATATTCAAGAGTAAAGTCTTCATACTTCCAACTGAAAGATACATTTTCTTTTCATGAGGTCTATAAAAATAAGGAATATATTTAAAATGTTATACTGTATGAGAAAACCAGTGATATGTACAACACGTACAGAGACAAGTGACCTCAGTAAAAAGGAGTGTGTCTGGAGAAAGGGGGGGGGGAAAGGGAAACCCTTTCAATGTGATAAGGTATTTGCAAAAGCCCAATTGGAGGTTGTTGGTCAAATAGGTATTTGCTCATCTAGCTGAAGGCAACTCAATTTTCCACTATTTAAACAGTACTCAATCCACCATAATGTTTCATTTGCATTGCACTTTTTAGGGTCGGAGTAATTGGAGTGCTAGTTCAGAGATGCATGACTAGTAAGGAATGCTGCTTACTCTTGCTAGGTCTTGTGTCCCAGAGATGTAGAAGAATGTCTTCTTGCTTCAGTATCTCTAAGGGGAAGTTACTCCTTTGCAGAGGAGCCACATGAGATCTATGCACCACTTATGCCCTCAAGTTAAAGCTTGGCAGGCCCTCTGCAGAGAGGAGAATTTCACCCAGAATGGAGAACATTAGGAGGATGGCTATATCAACTGAATTTATTAAGGAAACATTCCAACAGGGCAATAAATATGTGCATAAATTGTAATGCTTATGTATGGTTGAGAGTTTCTGGTCTCACTAGTTGGGTTTTTCTCTGCCTTCTATTGAGATCTGCATTATTGATTTTTTTAAACACAGGGATTAAAGCCTTGTATTTATATCCCTACGTTCCACATAAGGCTGCAGTCTTCAGCTTTCAATTGAGGTATGGGACTGAGTTAATGTGAAACAGGACAAAAGGAAGGTGCGTGAACATGCCTATTTTATGTTCTACCTAGTGTTCTATAATCATGTTACAAGTGAAGGCACCTAAGAGGTTCTAAAAGTAAACTTCAGTTTGACATTAAAGTTTAATTAAGACTTGCAAAAGAGCTGCCTAGAAATAGGCATTTATCAAATATTCTGGCTTGAAACCAAACATTAGTCACTGAACACCTTTGGGAAAGAAGTTGGCACTTAGACAAGCAACAGAAGGTGAAAGCACTGCATAAGCAGCTAGGTTCCAAGACAACATCAAATTAAAGAGAAACACAATGTTAACATTTCAGTAGTTGGATTTCTAGTTCACTTTACCTTTTAAAGTTATTTTACCACATTTACATAATTGCTATTCTACTCTTTTTCTGGAACACATTTTACTGCAACTTGATTCATTAACAAGGTGCCGTCAAAAAGATGCCCACCAGCTTAGTACATAAGTGCAATAAAGCACCAGGTGCACATCTGGGAGTGTGACAAAGCTGAACTAGAGCTTTTCCCTGGTAATCATATTTCATTCTTCATTAAAACATGCATAATGCATATTTGAAATTTATAGAGCAGACCAGAATCTAAGCAATAGAAACAGAATAAGGTAGTGCATACATGCTGAACCATAACCCAAGAAGTAAAGGACAAGAGTCAAGTATTTCAGTGACAACCCCTATTCAATTCCATTCATTTGGGAGACATTTGTCTTAAAAAAAAAAAAACAACATTTGCTTTGCTGTTTCTGGATAATGAATGCATTCTGTCTAGACAAAATAAATTAATGCTTCACAGCTAACCAGTTTTTAATCAAGATACTAGGGCAAAAAGTAATTTAAGGTGATATTTCACACTTTATCAAGATATGTAGCCTATTTATTTTAGTTGAAAAAGATGGTACAAATTCTTGTACTCTATTTCCATCCTGTAAAATGTAATGGTATTTATAAACCTGCTTAACTTGTATTAATGCTAGTGAAAATACTCCAAATCCTTTACCTTAGAAAAATGCAAAATTTTTCAGGCAGTACTATCTTAAAGCCTAAGAAAATGGTTGAGGGAAGGAGAAGAATCTTACTCTGAAATCCATGAAGACTCAAAAGCTTGTGCCCAGAATCACATAGAAGTCATTAATCAAAATAACATGATTATAGTATTATTTATGTACCATTTTAAGATGTTTTACAAGGTGAAACTAGCAGCTCAATTCAATAGGACCTGTAAAAATCTGAATATTCATAAAACAAAACCACGTTCAATCAGGCAGCTAGTTCCATGTTGTATCAGGGATATGCAGCAGATAAAATTTCTCAGCCCTCAGGGTTTGCAAAGAGCCACTGAAGCCAGGTTCTAATCATGAAACTCAATGAAACTGATAGGCAGCAGATTTAAAACAAAAACAAACAAAAGGAAGTACTTCTTCATACCATACACAATCAACCTGTGGAACTCATTGCCAAGGGATGTTGTGAAGGCCAAAGTATTACTGGATTCAAAAAAGAATTAGATAAGTTCATGGAGGATAGGTCCATCAATGGCTATTACCCAAGATGTATGCAGTGTTGTTGTAGCCATGTCAGTCCCAGGATATTAGAGAGACAAGATAGGTGAGGTAATATCTTTTATTGGACCAACTACTGTTGGTGAGAGAGATGGACATGGATTCAGCCCCATGCTGTGTGTGTCCCTAAGCCTGTGACTGCCTGATGCTGGGACTGGACAACAGGGGGATGGATCATGCAATAATTGCCCTGTTCTGTTCATTCCCTCTGAAGTTTCCGGCATCGGTCACCGTGTGAAGACAGGATACTGGGTTAGGTGAATTATTGGTCTGACCCAGTATGGTCATTTTTATGCTCTCATACTTGGGGAGAGGAGGAGGGAGATGGCATGAACAGATCTTTTAAAATCTCACTCAAAAAAGAATTCAAATTACACTGGGTAGGAACGCTGTCACGTGAATTGAAAACTAGCTGAAGGGTAATGATAGTATCTCACAGAGGAAGAGTGTTTAGTTCTGCAGAGATCCAGTCTTAATGAACTGTCATGACATTTAAATAAAATTAATAGTCTAGCATGAGAATGAAATTTAAGGATGATAGCAAATTGGAAGGAGCTGCAAACACCTGTGTGGACCAAGAAATACTACAAAGGAGCTAAAGAGATTAGGAACATGGGTGAAAAGTTATAAAATGAAATTCAGCTTGGAAAATGCAAGCTAGTATATCTAGGGGAAAAGAATCAAACCACACATAATGCCCAACCATCTGGTGCCTCGATCATTAGTGTTAAACTGTACCGTGAATATTCTTAAGTAGTTCTTTTTCCTTATTTCATAATTGAAATAGTAAATACAGCACAAAAATGAAGTATGTCCTTTTGTACACTGCAAGTATAGTCATAACAGCAGTAGAAAGTTTAATTCTTGTCAGTTAGAAGGGGTCTAAATTTTGGATGTGCAGCAAGTTACATGCATCTCAGTACATCTGAATTAGAAATTTCAAAGTTTATTTTTATGAACAACAACATGCTTTTTTGGTAATATCTTATGAGTATAATTGAAAAAGAACTGTTCTCATGTATAATTACATTACTGTTATACTTTCTGAAACGTTGTTTGTTTAATAATCTTTAATTGGAAAATAATTTTTATTCCTGTAATGTTTGCTTAGGGAACTCAGTCTACTTTTGCAAATTAATTTTATCTAGATAGCAAGGAAAACTCAATTAGACAAATAAAGCCCTACTCAGTCCCATTCAGCAGACGGAAGTCATATTGTACTTACTTTGGAAATGCAAGTTTTCCAGAAACTGTCAAGTCAGCAGAACAGTTTTTTCTGGAACAAAATCTTGCAAAAACCATCTGTGAAGAGATGACAAAAGTGAAAATATTTCAAAACAGTGTGTACACAGTAACAGGTACAAAGTAATTCTAATGCACGTATCACCATGTTCTTATCAAAGCATCGTGAGTGCCCAATAGCCGTTGCTACTGAAGGAGGAGCTAAATCAGGTGGTGACTTGCCATTTCTCTGGCCACATGCACTGTACATAGAACAACAGACACAGCATTCTGTCTCATGCTAAGGGTCTCATTCTTGGGCCAATAGAGATACGATCAGCCAATACTAAAAGGTACATGCAAGGACAAAGCATTTTAGGGGATTGAAGTTCCTGGGACAGTTCTGCAATCTCCTATGATAGGGCAGCAGCTACCCAGGCTACACAGTTTATCTCAATAAAGACTGCCTATGTGATATTAGGTTTCTTTGACAGTAGTGATGTGAGTTGGTTGTGTCAGTGCTGTGGTTATTAAAGTTCCACAGAATAAGTGTATGTCACTGTATTGCAGTATGGCACGCAGCAAGATTCTCTTTTGTTAAAACTGTATGTGGGTCCAGAAATGGAAAGTTGAGATGGACAGCACAAGTAAGGATATTTTGCCAGTTAGAAGAAACCTTAGGCATCTCAAAATTCTGGCTGTCAATTTTATTTTGAATTTGTGAAACTTATTACTGGTGAGGAGTCAGAATAATGTTATTTAATTATACCAATTACAAATCATAAGAACACTTTGACTTTTGCTCCTGGAGGAGGGGGAAGGGGAGGGAAATAGCTTAATTATGATACTGTAATGTATGGTTTTTCCAATCCCTGTGCTTGAACACTTGGGAGTAGCTCGAGATAATACATACTTCATCAACATTGTTGAAATAATGGAGTATAAATTAACGTAAGCAGCGTGCTGTGTATCTAACATGCAATTCATGCTGGGATTTGACTCAGCAGATCATGTGAAACTAGAAGACTGGTAAGAAAATGTCTAGTACTAACACCAATATACCTAAAACAATAAGAGAATATAATTAATAAGAGATAATTACGTGCTTCAGTATAATCCTGTGCCACTTCATATATACCATTAGAGTAAAAAATATAAAATACAAACTAGATGTATGTTCTGTAAGCAATGCATCCTTTAGACAAAACTTAGCATTCTACTTTTAGCCTACTGGTTTATTTAATAAAATCAAGGCATTTTTAATGTCCCTGTCACCATGAGATCTAGACACCAATTCAGAAAATGTGTTCCTTAGTTACACTGCACTGTGTGAAATTTTCTCTAGATAATGATTTACAATGTGCATTCATTTTGTTGAAGTTGAGACAAAAATATCCATATCTTAACCTTGTTTTTTATAATGTCTTTTTCTTTCCTCTGCTGAAGAACTGGTTCAAGTGGCGGGAATTCCTCCACACTTCTTTTCATTATAACATGATGCCCAAGATGATAAGTTGCTTCAATGTGTATAGGAGTCAGGATATCCCTTACATCTTTCTATGAAAATTGGAAACCTAATGAGTTAATCATATAAAACAGACATGTATATAAAGAAAACACTGCAAGTTTATCTCTATTTTCATATATACAATCACTTCCTAAACCACAGAAATGAAATCTTCTTCTTTGAATATACCTTTTTCTTCCCTACTTCTCCATGACTTCTGAGCTAATTTTCATTAACAATAATGAGATGAGAGCAGTCACTTCATAACTGAAGAGTGTATTTTATGATTAAACAACAATTGTTAATTGAAACTTTATTTGGTTGAAGACCCAACAGAATTTTCTTTGGCACCAGGTTGACTGTTTTATTTTAAAATATTTATGGTCACAGTTTAGTAATTTTGCATTTTCCAAGTAAGGGTAGGTGAAAGAGAAGGGCAATGGACAAATGGGACAAACCCAGACAGGCACAATGGATCAGGTATTTCTGAGAAGTCTAAAAAGGCTCTGCGAGTACACATAAATAGGATATGGAGCTGGGACGGAGAGAGGGGGTTCCCCTGTCTTTATATTTTGTACTCTGCATTAAGATGATTAAACTGCTCAATAAATCGTAATTTCAACATTAAACCTTGACCGTGTAGGAATGCCACAAATCGAAGCCCAAATCCCAAGTTATATACTTGTAAAAACTGAACAGCCTGAAGCACTGAGTTTTACAATAGCAAACTTGATTAAATTATTCCCTAGGTATCCGAGACAGACAGCCACTGATTGTCCTTCCACATGTCCACTGCTTTCATTCTTATCTACAAGCTTTCTTTGACCATATCACATGTTATCTAATTCACAATAGTTTTCCATAAGGTCTTCTCTGCATCTGCTGTATATTACTTTCATTATACTAATTAGCTATTCATTATTCTTTACTCAAAATATATATAATGTACATGCTTTCCTGTAAGGACTCTACTTGACAGACATTCACACTTAGTTAACTTTAACAGGCATAGAAGACTCAGTGAGGTGATGGGGGCAGTCTTGATATTACTACTAAAGAATTTAAAAGGAAATGGAGTATTATGGGAAAAGTTTACATGAGATCAATTATATATAATCACAAATTAAATGACAAAATAAGCATGCATGTATAGATTATCCATTACATGTTTTAATTGAAATGTGATAACTGTGAAAAGTTTTAATATAAATCTTAAAATCACCTTTAGGTTTAGGTTTCTCTAAGTTAACCTGAGGATAAAACAGCATCACAGCACTTCACACACACAGACAATGCATATGTATCCAAAGCATATTGTATTCCATAGACTAAGAGTCCTGTGATGCAAAATATGGACAGTCTCACTGAGATCACGTCACGTGTGTGCTATTACCAATGGGCTAGAGTCTATTCAGTGTGAGTAAGGGTGGCAGAATCTGGCCCAATGCAAAGTTAGGACTAAACATTAAAATATGGTTATCTATGTTGCACCATCCACAAAATTCCTATGTAGATCTCGCCTGAAAAAACCTTTATCTTCATGCAATTATATATAGGAAATAAACTATTCTAAATGCAGATCTGGACTAGATCACTGGGCAACCAGACTTTTGGCTGGTGGGCTCAGCCCTTTTTCTGGGCTTCTGGACCAGCCAGATGATCAACTGATGATGATACTCACTAAGCTTGGCCTAGTCTTGATTTATGTATCGCCACCTGAGCACTAATCTGTGCTTCTGCTCACTCTTGCCTAAAGACCTGGGTCCAAAAGCCTTATAAGCTACCACCTGGATCTATACAGGCAACCTCTGATCTCTGGGTAGAGAACAGAAATCACCTGGTGATGTGGCGCCCATTTCCTATGGTGGCGTATGGACCTGTTGACTGTACAGTTATTCCCTGATGGCTGCTACGGTTCTGTCACGAGAACCCTCACCTATGGAGAAGTCCCTTTTGATAGGCTGCTCTTTCCCAGAAGGTGGAAGAATGGGAGAGATCAGCCAATCAGATTCTGCAAGTGTTGATGCACAGCCTAGTGCTCCCTTTCTTTCCCCCTTACCAAGAGTACTAGGAGCGTTGTATGCTGCAGCAGCTAGGGAGCAGCTACTCCTACTGCCATCTATGCAAAATTATTTACATATGTAAATCATACAAATTATTTAAATTTAGGCAAACATTATGTAGATATTGAAAGCAGAGTCAGGATACACCAACATATATATTAAAAGGAAAAAACAAAATCAATGTAAACATAGTGGACAAATAGACAAATTTATCCTGTGTGTAACTCTGCTGGTATCACTAGGGATGAGTTTGGCCAAGTTAGTTAATAATTAAAATTCTATTTTAAAATGTTACCAAAAAATTAAAATGTGTAAACAAAAATATTAAGCAAAAATCAAACCGTAGCGTGGCCCACAAAATTTTACCAGCACACCCCTAAATCCCAATCTGTCTAAATACACCATTTCAGTAATTTGTTGAGTCGGCTCAGCACTACTGATCAGATGTTGACATATAGGATTCTCTTGCACCTATAGTGAATCTGTGCAATATCTTCCCAGTAGCCACAAAGTTTGCCATCTGTCTTTCGCTCTCTCTTCCCTAAAATAGGGTCAAAATGGTAAAAATAATTACCAAGATTTTTTAAATCCTACTATCACCCCAAATATAGGAATGCCTATATTCTCCTAGTGGAGACAGCTGCATAATGTTAATAGGTACACATTCCTGCTGACATTAACGATGCTGGCACACACTTAAAAAAGTCAAGAGAGTCACGTTGACTTATCCATTAAGCAGCAAAGGGTGGAGAAGCGGGGTGTGGGTGTGTGAGGGATTCAACATTTACTTAATGGACAAAGTTATGATCTGCTAGGACAGACATTTTATTTTTTAATTTTGGTGAGGGTATCATAAGTAGACTATGTAAAAACTTTTTTAAAAGTAGGTAGATACCCTTACACATATGACAATGTTACGGTATTAAATAAAATAGATACTAAAGATTACATTACCTTCAAAAATGCTGGATGACTTTTGCAGGTAACATTGCTGTTGTAAATCTCCATACTTCCTGAGACCATATCTGATGTTCCATTAGAAGAAAAGTAAAATCTTGCAGGAGTGTTTGTTTTTCTGCTTACATCTATGCTCAGGTCATAAAGCAGTACTGCAAGATTAAAAAGCAAGTAAGTAAAAGCTTTTTACAAAATATCTTTGAAACATGTTTATTTTCACTAATTTAAGATAGGAGTTATACCTCATCACTTACAAATGGAGTGCTGGATACATAATGTCTGTCTCAAAATGCTCTAAAGAGCATCCTGTTAAAGGCATTTTTGAACCTTTGGGAATATACACAAAGCTATAATTTAAAAAAGGAAAAAATAACTTCACAATTTTTAAAGAAAACATATGTACCCAGATACATAACACATTCTCTTAAATTTATTATTTCCCTTCTGACTCTCAGAGCCAAACTCATCCCTAATATGAGCCCATGGCTCCACTAAAATCAATGGAGTTGCATGCATTTACACCAGGGCAGATTTGGGTGTATTGTTATTATATTTTGATAAATATAGCTAGAATCTGACTGAGAAAACCCAGTGTCAGTCAGTCACAGAACTGGCATTAAAATTTCAGCAAACAGTAGACAAGAATAGATTCATTGACTGAAATTTAATTTAAAATAAATACAAAAAACTGTAAGATCCTAAATCACAAATAGAACACTGCGGATAATCAAATCACAAGCAAATTTTGGAACACCATTGTTTTAATACTTCATTGTTTCATTTCTGTTGTGACTTGAGTTTACGTATTCTGGGTTTTGTGTAGCTCCTCCTCCCCCTGTTGCCATTACTATTACCCAAGGCCTGAATTCAACAAGGGTACATAAGCCAGTGCTTAACTCTTAAGCATGCTGAATTGGGGACTGTTGCAGACAAACACAAAACTCCGGGAATCTGAACTCCAAACCTTTCAATTCACCCTTAAAATTATTAATAGTGATGCTTACAATACTTATATATTCTACTCGTGGAGACACAAACTATTTTAATTTTTAAAGCATTTCAGTTCACTTAATATAGTAATTGTGTTCTCTTCAAACAACTCTTTTCAATAAAAAAGAAATATGTATGCTATCTAGTCAAATTTGGAAAGGAAAAAAGCTGTTTCAGATAGGTTCATCATGTGAATTCTTGATCCCATGGAGACTTTTCAAAGCAATTATACATATTTAAAGAATCAGCATTATTTAAGTAGCTCCTTTCTTATTTTTTCTACCATTTTACATGTTACAATTAAATGCTTTAATCATATAACAAAAGGACTCATGTAGTAAAACTAAAAGTGTACCCAACTCAAATTCTGTAAGAGCGATTCCCTGTTCTGTGCTTTTGAATCTCTCTCTCTCTCTCTCTCTCTCTGCCTAACTGACTAAAGAGCAGAGCAATGCATTCAGTCATCAAAGTTGGCAGCATCTCATACTGCATTTTCTTCATAGCACTATGGAAGGTTGTAATGGGCAACATTTCAGTACCATCCTGATCAGTAATGCCTTGGATGAGACTGCTTCCAGAGGACCAACAATGTTACTGCTGGTCAGCTAGTATAGATCTTCACGGAGTATTGATATTTGTCCTTCACTAATTTCCTACCTGCCTGCAATGTGATGATCCAGGATTAAATCAAACTGACCTTGGGCATGGCAATTTTTCACACAAATCTGGTGCTAGGTTTTGTGGGTCCCTATACAAGGTGAAACACAGGGTCGCAGATGCACTATGTGAACGAAGGAAGGTTAGGAAAGTAGGCGTAGCACTTTTTCATGCTAGTCCAGGAAACATTTTTGGCAGATGGGAAGGAGTTTGGATTGGAGCCCTTGTCCTTATGAAGCAGTGACAGGTACAAAGTTTAGCAATTCAAAGGTCTACCCTCACCCCCATTACACTGCTTTGCCTTTGTACTTCTTTATGAACTTTAACATAGACAATTCTGCTATGTCCTTTAACCTAGCTGGCCCTACTAAGGATTTACAAAGTTGCTTAAACTCAGGAGAAGTATGATGGCTCAGAGGTGGACCTAAGAAAGTTTGGAGTTCATTTCAAAATACCAAAATAAAATAAATAATGTAACTTTTCCTGAACACTCAAATTCTCATTGAGAATAGAAGAATAAAACAAATTTAGAGTCTCTAGACCATCCGGTTATGAAGATAAGCCATTTTCTCCCCACCCGCCCCCAAAATTAAAAATTTTGCATTTTTTGAAGACTGTATAGGTTTTTTAACCTCCCATATCTCAAAAGGCGTTTGCCTTATTAGTTATACGTTTTTTCAAAAATTCTCTAGCAACTCTGCTACCACTTATGATAAAACTTATACAGTTTTTATTTGTTTAGATGATTAAGGGTAAAAATTCAGGCATATTAATAGAAAACTAGTTATAACCTTAACTACAGGATTGCCCCTCTGATATAATGTGTGCGACTTCTTTTAGTAGTAATGTAGTTAATGAAATATTCATAGATTTTAAGGCCAGAAGGGACCATTATAATGATCTAATCTGATCTCCTGCATAAAACAGGTCAAAGAACTTCATCCAATAATTTCTGCTTCAAGCCTATGGCCTGTGCTTGAGGTACAGCATATCTTTTAAAAAAAACATCCAGTCTTGATTTTAAAACTTCAAGCGATAGAGAATTTACCACATCACTAAATAAATTGTTTCAATAGTTAACTGTCCTTGCTATTACAAAACAGTGCCTTATTTCTTGTCTGAATTTGTCTAGCTTCAGCTTCCAAACATTGGATCTTGTTACACCTTTTTCTGCAGATTAAAAGCCATCTACTATCAGAAATCTATTCCCCATGCAGCGACTAGTAAACTGGGATCAAACCACCTCTTAACTTTCTCTTAGATATACTAAATTGATTGAGCTTCTTTAGCACGTGTGGGCAAACTACAGCCCGCCAGCCGATTTAATCCGGCTGAAGAATTAGGATGGAAGAATCCCATGCACTGCTACAGACTAGCGACTGAATGGCTAGGCAGCAGTTCTGTAGAAAAGGACCTAGGGGTTACAGTGGATGAGAAGCTGGATATGAGTCGACAGTGTGCCCTTGTTACCAAGAAGGCTGATGGCATTTTGGGCTGTATAAGTAGGGGCATTGCCAGCAGATTGAGGGACGTGATCATTCCCCTCTATTCGACATTGGTGAGGCCTCATCTGGAGTACTGTGTCCAGTTTTGGGCCCCACACTACAAGAAGGATGTGGTAAAATTGGGGAGTCCAGCGGAGGGCAACAAAAATGACTACGGTACCTGAACACATAACTTATGATGAGATGCTGAGAGAAC